AGGAATGATCTCCAAATGCTAACAGGCAGTGGGGCTAGTGATAGAGCTTTAGAGTGCTTCTTCTCCAGATTTGTGCTAACTGGGAGTCTAAAGACCAGTAAAGCAGTTACCATGAACAAAAATCACCTCAGAGAAACCGGATACAAGCAGCCCACCTGCTACATGCCAAGCTACACAGCACGGCTACATCCATTTCAAAAGACCAGGCTATTTCCACAGTATCCTTCTAATCATTTTGCATCTGCTTGGTCAGGCCTATATCATTAGAACCGCTTATTAACTGATACGGTGCCTCCATCATGCAAAATGCTTTACAGTCATCATCTTGACTACATCCCTTTCAGATAGGCTTGCCACCACTATTACTCCTGTTTAACAAACAGTGACTGACAAAAGATGCTGTTACAACAGAAGTCCAAATGGCTGAGATCCACGCATGAGGTGGAATTAGAACTTATGCCCCCCCACCATCAAGGCCCTGCTTCTGGTTGGACACTGAGGAAACAAGAGGCTGGAAAATTAATCTGATCCAGCAAGCTGTTCTTAGGTAAAGGTAAAGGTTCCCTTGCTCGAAAGCCAGTCGAATCCAACTCTAGGGTTGGGGTGCTCATCTCCGTTTCAAAGCCGAAGAGCCAGCGCTGTCCGAAGACGTTTCCGTGGTCATGTAGCTGGCATGACTAAACACCAAGGCGCAGGGAACGCTGTTACCTTCCCACCGAAGTGGTACCTATTTATCTACTTGCAATTTCTTGCTTTCGAACTGCTAGGTTGGCAGGAGCTGGAACTAGAGACGGGAGCTCACTCCGTCATGCGGCAACTCGGGTCTCGAACTGCTGAACTACTGACCTTCCACAGCCTGCAGTTCAGCATCTTAACCACTTGAGCCACCAAACTACTAATCTGGTTTGGAGCATTGGAAAACTGCAGGTATTAACCTTTAAGATACGACTACCCAGTCAGCATCTACTGCTCTCTCCTCACTTCCCCAAGATCTCTTTGGAAAACCAGTCCCTCTGAGTGCAGCAGCTGAATGGTTTACAAATGATGTCTAAGGGAACAGGGAAGCATTTTGCCTTCTTCACCCCTATCCATCAATGAAAGGTACATGGGCATTGCTACATCCACCCATATACCTTATGGACAGAAAAATCTTGAACACAATTGTTCTGGGCTACTCACTGCGAATCTGCTTTTTTATTTCCTTAGAGGGGTCCAGCCAGTTCTGAAATGGTAAGCAACAGTATGTCAGATGAAATCCTGTTTGAGAAGAACACCTTGAATGGACATGGCACAGGATTCCCCCAGAGCCACCCACACATACCTTCTGACTGTCTGAGTCACAGAATGTGAGTCCAAAATAATCCTTCTCCAGGAGATTGAGATGCTCACAGACCATGTCAAAGAGCACTTGGCCCCGGGCATGTTTCTGCAGGAGACACAAACATGTAGTGCAAGAATCAAAAGACCATCTGGAATACAGTCTCTTCCTCTTCCCGAAGTATACTGTGGAGCCACACAGGAACCATACCTGACCATACCCCCCCTCCCCCAAATTATAACTTGGTTTCTTTGAGCACACTGGAAGTTTTTAATGGCCCTATACATGACCCACAGGGCTACAAATGGTTGATTAAGGAAAGCTTTACAAGACGGCGGCAGTACAGTTAGGTTGCAATCCTAAGAACACTTTCCTAGGAATGAGCCCCACTGACTAAAATGGGACTTCAATATGAGCAGAACTGCTTCGGCTTGCTCCCTTAAGCCACTAACCCAATTCTTTGCAAGTTTCTGGCAACTGGTCCAGTAATTAGCACTAAGCACCTCTCCTGAGCCATGGCAACTTGCTGTCCCAGGATGGAAAGAGCCACCCAGCGTTCTTCCTGGCCAAGAGGAAAGGCCTATGCGGAGGCCTGACAAGTGCACACACTGAAAAGGGCTGAGCACACACCTATGAGAGTCTTACAGGACTCATTCCCTGGCCTGGGCTACCATTTCTCTGTTTTGTAGCTCTTTAAAGAGCCTTGGAAAAATCTTACCCAGTTGCAAAGAACTCTTTTGGGCATTTTTGCAGAAGCCATTCCTAACTATGAAAGAGCCAGAAGAGATAACTGTAACAGAGGCCCAAAGCTCCTTTTGGCACATAAAAAAGCACTTTGGGGGAGCACAGTTAGCAGGTGACCAAGGAATGGGAACACAGAGGGAAGGGGCTTGGTGGACAGGCAGATTTTGGTAAATAATTTGCCATTGTGCATAAAAGATACATATCCTTTGCACAGAAGATGTCTAGAAGGCCTTATGCCTTTCACTTTTCTAGGGGCAACCCTGAAAGCTTTCTAGAGAAGATCACAATGGACCACTCCAGCAGTGTCACCACACAAAGAACTGTACCAATGCTCCCTCTAAGCTGTGGAGTCTTGTGAGCAAAAATTCTACTTTGTGAGCTACTGGCATTAAAGTTGGGAGCAAGCAATTTGACTGCTGCATAAATTAGTCTGCACTGGGGCCATCCTTCCTGAGCTAAGACAAAAACGTGTGAACTGGAGGCTAAAAGAAATGTGAGCTAGCTCACAGTAACTCAGCTTAGAGGGAGCACTGTATGTTACTAATGGCTTTTAAAAAAATTAATAGTGATAAAAACAATAGACATGAAATTTCCAAACAGTTCTCCATTGGAAAACTTCTCCAGAGTATTTTCTTGTATGGGAATATTCTGAAGACAGTGGCAATAGGTTCACAACCAAAGATCCTGATTCTAAGTCCTGATATACTAGCTATTCTAGCACAGAGCAATAAATGCCAACAGAAGCCCTTTTCAATAAAGCAATTAACATTTTCCTACAGAAGCACTTCATTGTATCCAAAGACTCTTCATTAACCAGCACAGCAAAAGGCACTGCATCAATTTAGGCATATAAAATGTTTGTTTGTCTGTTTGTTTTAATTGTAAGAAGGTTCAGGAGATGAAATTTCATAAATGTCAGCATGCAGTGGGAAATCAGTGAAAGATACAGGCCTCTGTAACATCCTTGGTAGCCAGCTGATGATAAATCATGGCTTCCTAGGCTGCCTGGAGGAATATGTTGATCAGGAAATGGCCAGCTATGGCATACCTATTTGTATTAAGAAGCCTTTGTTAAACTCACATTTCTCTGTGTCATCGTGTTTAACATCAACCCAGTTCTTGCAGTGGCTTTGGATCAGCATGGAGATTCTAGCCCTCAGCTCAGTCTTGAAAAAACAATTTCCCTCATTTCTACTTATGTATGTCTCTTCTTGCTCTTCTAACTCTGTTCATCTCAGTCACTCCCACACAGGATATTTGTCCTGGGTTCGTTACTGTTGGGACACAGGGTTTTTCCCCCTGCTTCCCCAAAGCATCATGGTGCATTTCTATACCACAAAGGGTCTCCATGGCTTTTCTCCAGTATTTTCCAAACCTGTGAAGACTGCAATAAAGCCTGGATGGCTGCCATGTGGGTGGGAGTCTGGATTTTCCCACCTGCATGGCAGCCATTATTCCTGCCCCTGCCCTTCCCCCAGCCATTTAATTCCCCTGCTACTGTTTTTTTTTAAAATTGGCAATTGAATAATATATCAATATACTGCTACAACAATATGCATACCAGGCTCTCTGAACTTTAAGTGGAAAGGCATCTCTCCACAATGAAAGGAGCTACAGACTTTTTTTAAAAATGAAGGCTAGGAATTCAGAGAACCTGACACACACATGATTATAATGTTATATGCATACTAGAAATAATGCCCGTTGCGGAAATAAATACAACGAGATCTAGAAAGAGGCTCTGGGAGAGTGCTCTGGCTTTGGGCAAACAGTGTCAGTTTCCTGTGGCGACCTCAGCAGGGTTTAATGACAGAGTCCACTGTTTTCTCCAGAGGGACTGATCTCTGCTACCTGAAGAGCATTTGTATGTTTGAGTTATCTGTAGCCCTCACCTGGAGAGTGGTAACCATTGTTACCCATTCTCCTCTCCCCTATGAGGTATGTTATGCAACTGAAAATCCCAACTGCCTTGCGGGGGGGGGGGAGTTTGAGGTGTGGAATGGACTGAAGTCCAATCAGCTTCCATATGCAAAAGACCAGGTTGTCGCAGCAGTTGTGGTGTGGGCGGGACCCGGGCTTTGCCTTCTGATTGGTGGCGATATATGCTGAGGAGCAGTGCCATCAGCCATACACTAAGGGAGTGCATTTTAGAATTAGAACTTTGGCACCCACTATTCAATTATATATAAGGAGAGATAACAATATTCAATTGCTGGCTTAATGAAAAAGCCCCAGTGGTCCAGGAGAGGAGAGATGGCTGCTGTTGAGGGACTGGGGCAAGGAAACTGTGGGGAAACCTGCTGTGTGGAAGCCCCGCTGCCCCTGCACTGTATTGACAGCTTCAGCAGCAAGGAAGAAACCACACAAGCCTGCCCCACCCCCAAATGTGGAAATCCTCCTCCTCTCCTTCTGTCTTGCATCCTGTACTTGAAACAGTGTCCCCATCCCTTCGTAGGTGAAGCTTTCGCCCTCTGCTTAATAATCATTTATCTAACAAACCTACTCCTGACTCTTCTGTACCACCTTCGCCTCACCTTACCCAGCACTCCACTGTTGCTTGAAACTCCCATTTCCTTGCAGATTCCTGCCAATTACTCCCCCCCTTCCTATTAAAAAATTGATCATGTAATGCAGACAGTAAACCCTTCTGGTTTCATGTTTCAGTGCCCTGTACATAAAAGTTGGTAAGGCAGAATAGTAGAGTGATGTGGATCAACCAGTGTCTTCAGAGGACAACTAATTCCGTGAGTCCTGTTAGGTCTACAAAAGCCTCTCTGGCTTTGAAAGTTCCTTTAATAATGTATTCTATCCCCCCCTCCTTTTTATTTGCTTAAGAGAACTTTCATCTCTGTAGCAATCAGCTCTTCTTCAGTCAGTAAAGCTCCCTCTCAGAACCTCACTGTTGGCTAAAGAGCCCGTCGGTGACAGTGCCGGGATCAAAGACTGCCTCTGATCCTTTTCAGCCCTCCCTCCTCAGTCCTTTACTTTGTTTTATTTATCTGGTCATTTTTTTTTCACCACCTTTTTTTCAAATGAATCAAAACATCTTTCATTATAAAGAAAACCAATAATCCATCAGAAATCATCAATAAAAATGGTAACTAAAACAAATCATATAATACACTAAACCTCCACAGCACTGTTTAAACAGTAGGATTTAACACTGTCCACTACAAACAGATAGTGATGGACACTGATGAGGGCCTTTTGTGAGACGGGCCACTACTAGAAAGGCTCTGTTATACAAACAACTTGGTTGTACTTTCTTCAAGCAAGGCCTTAGAGTTTAACAAGCATTCGAGAAGATATGGGAAAAGAGATTCCCAATCTCATTTTGGGTCCAAGCTAATTTAGGAGTTCAAGGGTCATATGTAACAAATTGAGCCTGGAAACAGGACTGAAACCTGCTGGCCAGGAACTCCATAAATGCTATTACCAATCAAGAACCAACACATAAAAATTCAAAGTATATTTCATCTGGTCTTAGCAGACTAACTTTCTATTAGCCAAACTGTAACTGAGACTGCATCTCCTTGATCTGCCAACCAACCAACTAACCAACAGGCCAGCCCCCTGCTGCAAAGCAATAACCCTAACATAAGCATTTGATTGGGGCTAATATCGGTGGAAAGTGCCATCAAGTTGCAGCTGACTAATGGGGATCCCACAGGGTTTTCAAGGCAAGAAACAAACAGAGGTGGTTTGCCATTGCCTGCCTCTGCATAGCAACCCTGGACTTCCTTGGCGGTCTCCCATCCAAATACTAACCAGGGCTGACCTGGCTTAACTTCCAAGATCTGATGAGATCGGGCTATTAGGCCATCCAGGGCAGGGCAGCGCTAACAGGAGCTAAAAATAAAATCTGTTTCTACCCTCCATCTTCTAGAAAATCGTGGCTCACTCCCTCTGGAAGGAGTCCTCCCTTAAGAGAACAAGTTAGAGCTGTAACATGCAAGAGATATGCCATACTTTTTTCATAATGGGAACAACAGTTTACAGTGCTGCCGAGAAAATTAACTAATCCGTGCTCGTGCTGAAGCACTATGTGCAAATAATTCACTGCATTCCAGTAGCTGCCGTACCTGAAAATTAAAGCCTGTTTTTCCTTTCTGTGCCATTCACACCCCCTGCAACCCCCTATACTTGTGTATCCATTCATGCACACGTGATCTTTTATTTTTCTCCTCATCAGCATTTTCTTGAAGAAGAGATGTGTGATCCTCAGATTTTTTGCTTTTGCTTCCGCATTTCCCATACTCAATTGGACCAACAAAAGATGTTGCCTTAATTGGCAAAGGCTGGTGAGTCACTGCATAGCTACCGTCGCTCTAAGTGGAAAGAGAAGCTTGAATATCTCAAAATACTAATTATCCAGGAGCTAGTGGGGGGAGCGGGTGTTCAGCATCTTTGCCAACAGTATTATAACTGATGAGGGAGCAAATCAGACATGACAGACTCAGCCTCTCAGCAAAACTTGGAGAGTAGGCTGGGGTGGGGAGATGCTTCTCTAGCAGCTTTAGCCTAGGACTCACTACAGCTTTACCCAACTGACAGACCACACCAGCGAAATGGCTCACCAAGATCATCATCAACATCTCTCCTATCCTATCGTCACAGAGGCTGACAGAACCCCCAGTCACTCAAGACACAGCATGTGTGTGTCTTAGAAGAAGCTAGGCACTTGGCTGTACGTGTTTCAGAGGCCTCTCTGCTTCTGGACAAGTCCTTAAATTAAAGGACTTTGCTTTAGTTACTTCATCAGAGTAACACAGAGGAACATGACCTCTCCTCTGTATAGAGGCCCAAGCACAGAACATCCAGCAGCTAGGCCCAACCCTTTTTAAACTCACATCTATGTTGTTCCAGTCCTGCATCTATGTATTTTGCTGAGGTGCACACATTTGTTTAAAATGGACGTGCCTACTCTGGCTTTAAAAGGGAAATTCATGAAGAATATGCTTTATCAACAGCTACTAGCCATGATGGCTAAATGCAGAGAAACGACAGCAGGGAGGGCCTTTATGCCGTTCTTACGAGCTCTCTGGATGTATCTGCTTGGCCATTGTGTGCGTGGGCGGGGGGAGGATGCTGAACTAGACAGATCTTTGACCTGATCGGGGTTCTTATCTGTACATAAGCAGCAGCACTGAGCATCTTCCCACTTCTTTAATAGTATGCAACTGCACACCCTTGTAAAATTAGTTGTCCAACTCTTGGCGACCCCAAGGACCACATCACACCATCTTCCATAACTCCCAATTTGGAAGCAACATCAGGAATATCATCATATTCCCTGGGTCACTTCTTCCTTGCCAGTTCTCTCTCTCTCTCTCTCTCTCTCTCTCTCTCTCTCTCTCTCACTCTCTCTCTCTCTCACACACACACACACACACACACACACACACACACACCACAAACACACACAACACTTTTCTTTTTTTCATACTGTTTTGGGCTCTGTAGGTATTATGGGTGTGTCCCCACTCTTCTTTTCCATGGTGATACCAGAATAACCTGACTTCAAAAAATCCACAGTATTGATTGTTTATAGGCCTATCAACAAAAGAAGAAAATCCCTGAGGACAAGAGGGTCTATCTGCAGCAGACAGTAAACATGTTCCCCCGCCAAGGTTTCAGATTGTAGCCTATTCACACAGAGGAGACACACTTTCCACTGCAGATCCTTTTGCATTCACAGGCTACAGCAGGGACATGTGTGTCTCATCCCTCCCTGACAAGGCCTTTAAGATGGCACCCCTCCTTCTTCTCCAAACAAATGAACGTGCTCTGCTCATTTTATTAGGGAACAGTGATTCTGCTCAGGTATCCTTGCATCCTGCAGGAAAGTGGAAATAAGGAAATAACCCACAGAATTTTTAAGGGGTTGATTTGGCACATCTTTAGAATTTGCAGCAAGGTTTTATAATGGCCTAAACTTCCTGACTATATGCTATTAATACCCTCCCCTCCTGAGGGAATCCAGCTAGGATCACAGTTACACAAGGCTCACTCTCTCGCACACACAGGCCTACACTTCATTTTCACCATAAAACACAAATCGCAGGCAGCCCACGCTCAGAAATGTATGAGTCACACCGGTTTTCCATGTGGATCCCTACAGGGAGGGAGTGAAGTGCGTGCGTGCGTGCACTCATGAATCTATGGCAAGGCAAAAACCATGGTCTGATTAACATACTGTCTTTTTTTTAAAAGTGCATTTCAGTTGGCTCTCTCACACTGGATACTGACACTCAGGGCCTACAATACTGTAGAATACACAATTTCCAGAAGCTTATTATCAGGTTAAAAGGTTCAATCAGAGAGTCCATGACAAAGGAACACAGGCCCTGGGCTTACCTCCACTTCACACTCATACTCTGAGGCATCAAGCAAGGTCACTCTGCAGATGGCACTCTTGAGCTTTTTGGTGACTTTCTGAGGTGATTTCTGAGTCTTGCTGGGGGTGGTTCTCTCAGATATCCCATCTGCTTCACTGTAGTCTTTTTCGTCCATGTCCACAGCCTTGTAAGGGGGCAGAGTGGGAGATGAAAGCAAATGTAAAACAAGGAAATCTTAATAAAGAAACCTGAAGTATCTAAATTATGCTCTTAAATTAAGAGAGTGACCAAATCTAAATCCTCCACTTGCCAGGACTGGTTTATTACTTACCAGCTGGCTTGTGCATTTGTCTTTACAGGGGATTTCCCCAAATACCCACTCCTGTTGATTTTTTTTGGAGACAAACCTTCCTTGGTGTCAGTTATTTGTACCCTGAAAGTTAGGTTAGAATCAGATTAACCCACCTCTATTTATATGCAATCAACTGAATTACTGACATGGTCTACACTGATCCCTAGACCACACACAATGCTCTTGTTCCTATTCTCTGTTTTGGAGAAAAGTTGGGGGGGGGGAGGAGATTGGATTTATACCCCGCCCTTCACTACCCAAAGGAGTCTCAGAGCGGCTCACAAACTCCTTTCCCTTCCTCTCCTCACAACAGACACCCTGTGAGGTAGGCGGGGCTGAGAGAGCTCTTGACAGAAACTGCTCTTTTTCAAGAACAGCTCTTGTCAGAACTACGGCTTGCCCAAGGTCATCCAGCCAGGTGCAAGTGGAGGAGTGGGGAATCAAACCCGGTTCTCCCAGATTAGAGTCCGTGCACTTAACCACTACACCAAACTTGACGTTTTTGGACTTGTACTATAATATTAGCTGAACACAAAAGGATATTACTATAGTATTTTGGGAAAATAGAAGCAACATTTCTCTGATTTTGGTTGTTTCCCTTCCCTACTTTTTAGCTTTTCTTAACATGCTGATGCTTATTCTTTCTTTCTTCAAGACATTAATATTGCCTCTTCTGAGACCTGCTAGAGGCAGCTCACAAAATAAAACAAGATGAAAAACATGAAAAAAATAAGATCCTTAAAACTAACAACCATTAAAAACCTGCCAATAAAACCCAGAGACATAAAAGCCCCGGTAATCATAATGTATACACAGCCATTCTCTCACTTTCTTTGTGATGCTAGTGCCCAGCAAGGTTTTATCTATTTTATCCAAGTGTGGGGGTAAAACCCCCAGAAAGCAATAGATGTACTCCCAGGTGGTTGCAATAATCTCCAGCGGGCAAATTGGTTCTTGTTAAGCTTCAGCATCAAAGCACTATAAAAATGTCCACGGCTTCTCACTCTCCACAGGTGACTTGGACAAAAAACCACAATCCCTCTGGAGACCAGATTTCAGCCTACACTGTAAGCTAGAAAAGGAGGCCTCTTCCCATTGGTGGTGTCCTGGACATCAATCCAGCACTCAGCGGTACTATCTGAGCTGCTTAGTTATAACCCTTTACACTAATAATGTCTGAAACAGAACCCAGGGGAATGAGGCTGGCAGAAGGCTGATTTTAACCACAAAAAATTGCCCTTTGATAGAATTACCCGGAGAGAGAGAAGCTTGCACGTTCCTAACAATTCGTTCTCACACCGTGTCCACCATAATGAAAAATACCACACTTGCTAACCCCCATCTTCTTCTCCAAAAGGGCTTCTCCAAATCAATGGACACACAGAACACAATGCATCATATGACTCAGATGGGACAGCACTGGGGATCTCCCAGTTCGTGTAGTGGCTCCTGGGTAAACTGTTTGAGAGGGCCTCAGAGTGATGAACTTGTTTCTAATTCCTACCTTAATGACAATTCAGACTCTTGATTTCAAGTAGACTTAAGAACACTTATGTATCTCATTCCAAGCCAGGCGCCCCATGGACTGCTCAGCCTGTGATGGTACCGCCTGCCAGATTCACTACTGCAAAATTGCTGTGCTGCTTCTTACCTAGCAGGCCACACTTTCACTTCCTGAGGGACCACCTTTCCCCACATGTCCCCCAGAGGGCACTGTGTTCAGGGTCCCAAAATCATCTGGCCCTCCCTGGTCCCAAAGATGCCAGCTGGCCTCAACCAGGGCCTTCTCAGTGGCGGCTCCATACTGATGGAACGAGCTCCCAGAAGACACCAGGGGCCTATGGGACCTTTTATAGTTCCGCACGGCCTACAAGACAGAGCTCTTCCACCAGGCCTTTAATGAGGAGCCTCATATAACAACTGTACTGTGCTTAGGCCTGCCCCCCTGGACTCACTATCAGCAGCCTGTGCTTGCCAGCAAAACTGGTTGGGATAAGCTGAATTACAACACTGACCATTCCCTTCTGACTAATCCAACATGTCCTGCTGTGACCGCTATTACAATCTATTACTACCATCAAGTTTGCTCTAGCACCTTAGCACTTTATGACTGTTTATAATTGTTACACTTAACAGTGATGTTTTATATTTATGCTGCTTTTATGTTTTTTAAACTTTGATGTAAGCTGCCCTAAGCCTGCCTCGGTGGGGAGGGCAGGATATGGTGTGGTACTTTGTACTTGCTCCCTGACGTGGGGAGGATTACCAAGAGAATTGCACACCATTTTCAGTTACCTCGCAGACACCCTCCCATCAGAAAATGAGGAGTCTCCTAAGGGAGTCTGTGATGAAACCCTCTATGGTAACCTCCCATTTTATGTGGAACGAAGTGCCTGTCAGGTTGCAAGGAGCATGTGCCTCTCTCACGTGCTGCTTTTAACCAAGTCTGAACTTGGTTCAGGACTCTGGAGCAGCCTCTTATTCCTGATGGGAGGACAAGGAGACAGCACACAATACTCCTGGTTCCAGATACCGTAGAAGCTCTTCAACGTCTTGATCTTGGGGGAGTGTGACATGGACAGGCCAAGCTATGGGGGGTGGGTTATGACATCCTAGCCAGGGGAAATAAAGACCCTGAATGCAGCTTCTCCAGAGGGAATCCAGCATTCCTGGTTCAAGGACCTGGCTATCCCTGCTTTAAGCAGCACATGAACCTGCATTCTGGCTGGTGGCTTAATCTCATTCAGAAGTTCTTACCACCAAATCCTGCAGGACACCCTGACCTTGTCCATCCTGTTTTTGACCTACAGTTCATCTTGCGCTTTGCTCTGGTTTGTAAATCTGACTCGGGTTTGCAAGTCTGACCCTGCACGTCGGCTCTCGGGGGACAGTCTACCTGCCTGCTTCTGTTCTTGGGCCCTGACAGCCTGTCTCCTTGATCCTTCCTAACCTGAAAATGATCAGATTAGATAGCATTCAGAATCAAGAAACTCTGTGCAACACTATCCTGCCCCACCATGTATCCTAATCTGATGAGGACTCTGATTCATCACCTAACATGAATGGAGAAAGAACATTTCACCTTCTACCTTCTAGAAACAAGACAGACCAAAGTGATTGCAGTGTGAAAGCTTGTACTATATTGTTATTTCCAATGCTGCTGTCTACCCATTGCTTAGAGGAATTGTTGGTTTCACAAGTCTCAGTAGGATACTACTTTTTAAAAAAGCAGATTCTCTGAATTTGTATAATCCTACATTAAATCCAGGAACAGCAAAGGAAGATACCCCCAAGGTGTATATGCAGAAAGTAAAGACTGCTATATGATTTGTTTATAGAGATCAATCTTGTCTGGTCGTCCATGAAAGTCATAGGGGTACGTTAGTCTTTGGTGTGTTCCAGAGCACACAGGACCCAGAGGGAATGTGCAGCACCCCAAGACAGATTCAACAAAAAATGCAAAAAAAATTGCAAGAATGATTAACTTACTGGGGTACCTCAGAGCTGTCTGCAGCTCCTGCTTTACTTCTCCAAATTCTAAACATGTTTATTCAGAAGAATATTTTCTTGATTTTAATGAAACTTATTTCCATGCAAGTAGGCTGACAATTGCGGCCTAGAAGGACTTAGGCAAGTTCATAATATTCAAAGGTACATGCACCCCATGACAAACAGCTGCTGTTCAATCAGCTCTGGACAACTGCAAGTGGTTTTGAGCACATTTTCTAAACCAATCAAATAGCTGCAAGATATTTTATCAAATGGAAAGTGCCCTCAGATAGCCCAGAATCAGTACAGATAATTTCCATGCATATCAGATGGAAATAGCTTTTGGCAAATGATATGGCAGCTCTAAGCACAAAACACCACTTCTCAGTACACACGGCCTTTTAGCCAATAGCTTGGGTTTTTAAGTTTAATTATATAATTAGCTTGTTTTTGCTCTCTCCTTTGACCTGTTTAACCTTCTTCCCCAATGCCAAGGGCTCAAATGGTTATCTTTTGCTTGCTGGAAGAGGACCCACCATTGATTTTATTTATATGATTGTTCTGGTGACTTGCAACTAATTCATTAACTTTGCTGGTTATCTATTTCTCTCCAAACTCTGCACTTTGGGATGAGATGTAAAGGTGCTCAATTGACTCATGAAAAAAACTTACTTTAAAAAAAGGAAAGGATTGTGGATGGGAAAAAAGTAAGATACCCAAGGACCATAAATGCTACACTGCTAATCTCACCACTTCATTATATTTTAGTAGAGAAACAGAGATCCTGAAGTTCAATGGGAAATTAAGAACCTGGAGAGCTGCTGCCAGTCTGAGTAGACAATATCGACCTTGATGGACCAATGACCTGATTCAGTTCATGTGATGTCAGGAGGACTTGCCTAAAATCCAAGTTCTGTAACCTGGGGTATCCTTCCCACTAACAGCAAAAATTGTGGGTGATAGACATGATCATTTAGCAGTGAGAGAAAAGCCAGGGCTCATTCATCAGTTTGAGATGTAGCAGTTTTAGTTGCTTCATGCTGACTTCCATCTGTGCTGCCATAGACTGTGGTGTACCTGCTATTCACCACTTGCGTAGCTGCATCCAAATCAGCCTCTGACATTCATAGTCGCCTGGTAAGTTGAAGCTGTGACTGAATGCAAAAGGCCTATTGGGGCTTACCTTGGTACGCAGAATGCCCATGACTGTTTTGCTCACAGTAGGACAAAGCTGCATCTGTCACAGGCTCTGTCATTCACATGACTGAACTCTTACTCTGCATATGCTTAAAGTCACTCTGTTCTTTATTAATGCTGCAGATGGTCAAGGGCTGACCCCTGACACCAAAGACACCTTGCAGGGCTTGGCTCTGGGGATGGTGGTACTCTAGATATGCAATCCAAACTCACCCGCTCTGCATGTTTGGAGTCACTGTGGGCTCCTGGCTTCTCGTTAGCATCCGCTTCCTGGTTGTTTGCTGTGGGAACAGAGCTACCGGTCATTGCATCTGGCCCACTTGCTGCTGCCTCTAGCTGCTGCTGCGGAGTTTCCTCTTGGGTATTCTTCACCTCGGAATCTGGGCCCGTCTCTGTCGTCATGGTTACTAATTATTCTGCATTGGCAAAGTAAAACAAGAGGAGGGATTAAATGTGCAATCCTGACTTTTGAAACAATAAAAAACACACACTTCCTTAGCCTGTAGGGATACACATGGATCTGGTGATGTCTCACACATCGGCAACTGCAAGGCAACGTCACTGTAGAAAGGTCTCTAAATCAAATCCTTATGATCAATGAATCTGCCACTTGGACACCACAGTCTGTTCTCAAGCACACCACAGGGATATAATTATTTGAAGTAAACGTCTCCTGATGTAGCTGGCTGATATCTACATGTTCGCTGCCATCCTTTTGAAACTCAAGATTGCCAAGTGGGCATTTTAAGTACAGAACTTATAGCATAAAAGCAGAGACCCGTAAAACACCTTTTTCCCACAATGCCCAAGCTCCTTAGCAATCCACATAACAACCAACTCAGCTACTGGTTGCCCCTCATTCTTAAAAAATTGATTTCCCAGGTGGGCAAAACTCACCCCAGAAGAGCATGGGAAAGACATTCACAATATAAGCTATAATACAATTTTTCTGCAGTAATAAATGCAATGAGAAGCATAAAGCATTCCATACAGTAAAAGCGCTGTAGAGATACAAATAACAACAGGTGCTTCTTTAAAATAAGGAACACACAGCCACCACATTACAAGTCATATTCTAAAAAGGTCAATACGCAGAGAGGATGACGAATCTGTCTAAAGGATACATCTTCCCCTTTGTACTCTTTAAAGACATGGCATAAGAAACCACATCATGGTCATATCCAGACTACATTATAGCCATGCACTGGATGTAGGGCTGCTCTTGAAAAGTGTTCAGAAACTTCAATTAGTGCAGAATGCTGCAGCCAGGATGTTTACTGGAATGGGCTGTAGGGACTATATCACTCCAGACTGAGCCCATCTACACCGGCTGCTTATCTTGCTCCTGGGCACAATTCAAGGTGCTGCTGGTGTTAATGTTTAAAGCCCTAAACGGCTTGGGATCAGCATACCTGAACGACTGCCTACTCCCTTATGAACCTACCTGACCACTACAGTCATCTATGAGGCCCTGCTTTGGGTGCCCCTGGCTTCTGAGATTAGGCGGGTGGCAAGCCAGGAGAGGGCCTTTGTGGCTGTGGCAGTGAAACTCTGGGAGTCGACTTTTTTGTCTGTTTTTATGTGTGTGCATTTTGTGTGTGTGTGTGTGTATTTTAAATTGGCTTTAATTGTTTTAATGATGTGTTTTCGTTTGGCTTTAATGGTTTTTAAGGTATGCTTTTATTGTGCATGTTTTTAATCTGTTATCTGCCCCGGTGACCCTAATGAGGGCAGCAAGGCAGGGGATAAATTCTGTAAATAAACAAATAAATGCCACGTGAAATCAGTTATTTATATAATGCAATACAAAGCCTACTAGAGCTAAATTTTGGTAGCTGTCAGAGAGTGAACCACATTTGAAGCTACCTTGTGCCAAGTCAGACCATTGGTCTATTAAGGTCAATACTGCCAACTTTGACTGGCACTGGTTCTCCAGGGCCTCAGGTAAAAGCCTTGCTCATCATTTACTACCTGTCTGTGTTAACTGGAGATGCTGGGACTTTCTGCATGAAAAACAGAATGATCTGTCACTGAGTCATGGCCCCATCCTATTAGCAGGTGAGACACACATATCTCATATTTCAGCCTATGTGTGATCCAACTTCCAAAACACCTTTTTATTTACACACCAATTCTGCACACTGAATGGCTCATTACTGCTTCCCCACCCTACCTAGACAAATACCTGCCTTCCTCAAGTTAGATGTATTTGTCAGTACTGAATTATTCCTTAGCCATAGATAATTACTACCCATACCACCATGAACAGGCTTTCTAAATAGTCAGAATCGGAGTCCTGAGCCTGCCTGTACACCAGAATCAATCTTTCCACTCACTTGTTCTGGAGAAAGACAATGTGCACAGATATTGTGATTCAAAAGCAGGCACTCTCTGCTTGCTGAGTCCTGCCGTTGGGCAGACCACGTCCTGTGCATTGTCATCTTGGCTTAACGAGATGGCAGACATCACTGTGCATAAGGGCACAGATTAATGTGCTGGTGTCTGTGCCAAGCCAGAAACATCCCTCCAAATGACTATCATTGCTAATCGGTGCCCAGCTCTAAGGTCCTGTCCCAGGGCCAATACAGCCCACACAGCAGGTCCCACAGCTTGCCCAAGCTTATGGATGAACAAGATCCTAACAGACTGAGAAGCAGATTTTATTCTGATGTCTTCTTTGCCTGTGTAATGTATTGAAATGATTACATGAATCACCTCATAGGACTCCCCTGTTAAGCTTCGAGCCAGACCAGGGCTCCTCTGAGCAAACTTCCTATTGGCCGCTTCGTAACAGCGACCAATCAGAACGATACCATTCCCTAGGAGGGAAAGACTCCCATTGGTCTTTATTCTAGCAATCTCATTGGTTGTTATTTGTAAATAGGCGTGGCTACATTAGCCCGGTTATGTTTAAAAGGAGCATAAGCTCCCACTGTTTTCTGTTCTGGTTTCTTACTGAGTTAGTGCTTGCTCGTTACTTCCAATAAAGCTGAATCACTTGCTGAATCACTGTACGAGTCCTTTGTTAGCGCGATCTAACAATTGGCGACGAGGATGGGATGTTAGAGCAGGTAGGCAGCCCTGCGGACATCCACACTTCGGACTCGGAAGAAAGCGGGCAGAGCACAGCAGCCGATCCGGCGGAGGCGCCACCAGCTCCGGTGCCCAAGTCTCCCCCGATGGCTGGAAGCCAGAAGTTCGAGTGCTTCGAACCCTCCTCAGAAGACTGGGACTCCTACCTGTCCAGGTTCGAGTTCCATCTGGAGACCCACGACATCACCGATGAGGCGAAGAAACGAGCATGCCTCCTGAGTTCCTGCGGGAAGGGGACCTTCGACATAGCCAGGTCGTTGGTGGCCCCAACTGATATAAAGACTGTCACCTACGCTGACATCACGGAGAAGCTTAAGGCTCACTATTCTCCACAACCGTCGGAGATCGCCTGCCGGCACGCTTTTTACAAGCGGAACCAGGCCGGAGGCGAGACCATCGCAGATTTCGTGGCGGCCCTTCGCAAAGCCGCACGGCCATGTAATTTCCACAACGTGGAGGAAGCCCTCAGAGACCGTCTCGTCTGCGGTCTCAAAGATGAAAGGCTGCAACAGAGGCTGTTCGCCCGCACCACCCTGACCTGGGCAGTGGCCTACGAAGAGGCCGTGGCCGCGGAAGCAGCGGAGAAGTCCACGAAGGAGGTCCGCCAGCGGGTGGCAGAGCCCAGTATACACGCTCAACGAGACAGCGAGGGCGAAGACGCGGATGATGACGTCAACGCGGTTCGAGGCAAGCGGACCCCAGCGAAGACTACCAACGTCAAGCCTTGCTCCGGTTGTGGCGGGAAACACCAGCGCGACTCCTGTTGGGCTCGTGATGTCGACTGCAGAGCGTGTGGGCGGCGTGGTCATCTGGCCAGAGTCTGCAGATCAGCGAAGAAGGATCCCTCAACTAACAACCGGTCAGCGCAGAGGGGCACTCCAGTCAGCACCCAAGGCAAGACCCGTTCCTCAGCATCGGAAGCAAGCTGCCAGTTGACGGCGACCTTGTCGAGCGCATCGGCCGTAAATCGCACCAGCAGCCAGGGCAAGATCACCGTGACTCCACTCCTCGACGGCCGACCCTGTACAATGGAGGTGGACTCAGGATCGTCCGTGACGGTGATTTCTGCCGCGTCCTGGCGCCAGTTGTTCCCGAACCGAAGCCGGCGGCGGCTCCAGCCTGCGGGAACCAGAGTGTCCGACTTCCAGGGCAACCGAATTCCCTTGGCCGGACGGGACTCTGTTACTGTTGAGTATAAGGGGAAATGTGTTAAACTGTCATTCCTGATTGCAGAGGGAGACCGGGTTAACCTGCTAGGGTTAGATTGGTTTGAGCCATTGGGCATTGGTATTTCTGGGATTAACAGGATGTCTGAAAATAAATGGGGCATGCTGTACGACCTGTTCCCTGATGTATTTGCCGAAGGGTTGGGGAGGTACAAGGGCCCCCCGGTTGCGTTTGACTTAGATCCGTCAGTCAAACCTATTAGGTTGAAGTATCGGAAAGTACCTGTGTCTCTCAAACATAAGGTGGAAAAAGAGATTGACAAACTAGTTGAGCAAGGGGTTTTAGAGCCAGTACCATACAGCAAATGGGAGACCCCGATCGTAACCCCTGTCAAATCAGATGGGTCCATACGACTATGCGCCGATTACAAATGTACGATTAACAAGGCGCTGCAGCAACATTCGTACCCGGTCCCGGTAATAAGCCACATTTTGGCTTCCCTGGGGGGTGGCAAGATTTTCGCCAAATTTGACCTGGCCCAGGCATACCAGCAGTTGCCTGTCACCCCGGAGGCTGCCGAGGCCCAAACAATTGTAACCCACCAAGGGGCTTTTAAAGTGAACAGGCTGCAATTCGGGGTCAACGTAGCACCTGGGATTTTTCAGGGCCTCATGGAACGTCTACTAAGGGGGGTACCTGGCACAGTGCCCTATTTTGACGACGTGCTGATTGCGGGCGGGTCTGAACAGGAACTACTGGACCGGGTTAAAGAGGTCCTCAGGCGTTTTCAAAATGCCGGTCTCAGAGTTAAGCGCTCAAAATGCACGCTCGGGGTGGAAAGTGTGGACTTCCTGGGGTTTCGCATTGACGCAGAGGGAGTCCACCCCACGGATGAGAAGGTATCTGCAATCCAAAACGCCCCCAGGCCGGTGAGTAAGAAGGAGCTCCAATCCTTTTTAGGACTCCTGAATTTTTATCATGCGTTTTTACCGCATAAGGCATCAGTGGCGGCCCCTTTGCACGCGCTTTTGCACAAGGAGGCAAAATGGAAGTGGGGGCAGGCCGAGGAAAAGGCTTTTGTGGGAGTCAAGGAGCTGCTGACATCTAATGCCGTACTCACGCATTATGATGAACACAAGCTCCTGGTGTTAGCTGC